TAAAAAAATTATGATTTTCTTCCAGCTTTATACCATGCCTGGAGTTCGTGCATCCAAGTTCCAAGGTGATACACTTGGTTTAGTCCTTTATGCACATTTTCCCCATCTCTTACCTCTCTTCTGTCCTGCCACCACACTGGGTATCATACATTAATAAACAGACCTAGAAAGCTGTGTATTGTGGTTTGCTGATCTTTACCAAGTTGGCTGTCCTAATATGCCAGTGTCTATGATAATACAGGATCAAACCAACATAAAAAATAAAATAAGTTTTTTCTATGTCCCTCACATTGTAATTTTAATGAGGTATTTGTTCTGCCTAGTAAACTCATAATGGGCAGTATCACAAATGCCAGAACAACTAGAACTCCAACAGGCATAAATGTAGTTTATTTGCATCTTCTGCATAGTACCTCCAAAGGGGTGGGAGGCAACGACACATAGATCAATATCTTTCCTTTGAACATCAGTCCCTTCCTTCATAGTGTAATGATGAGCACCTGTACAGCCTTTAAAATGGTAGCATAATTGATCATTAAAAAGATGAACAATGAAGAGATCCACGTCCCATTCAGATTTCAATGTGCTGAGACAGGTATACCTGTTTATTAATTTAGGCAAAAGAAGAAGTTCTTGAAAAAGCTTATGTATACATGGGTAAACATAGGATTTGCTCCGCATTTGTAATTTAGTTACCATTGATTACACTGAATAAAATCAAGTCGATCTGCTTCTTCCAAGAGGTAGAGAATGGTTTGAATGTAGTCCAAAATATTATTGCATCTTTGACTGATAGCAGAATGACTTGCAAGATCTACCACCTGTCAGAAATATTAGAACAAGTTTGAGAAAAATGTATCACTTAGAAGATCCGTCGGTGGTTGCAGATGTGTAAATGATCTCCCTTCTCGCAGTTCCCAACCATAGATTGCGATGAGCCATCTTGAAGTCTCTCACCGATTACTTAAGCAAAATTTTGGGGGGCAAAATTTTTACCTTCTGTTGTTGGGCACACTACTTGACTTGAACCATACCATTTGAAAGATTGATATATACCAGGGAAGTTATCCCAAGCTACTCCCAACCTTTGGGCAACAAGTCATAAAGAAAAAGTGGAAACCAGCATGTGGAACAAATGTAATGAGAGAAGCAAGGAGTTACCTATTACTAGCACTTGAGAGCTGGCCTTCCCATCTACCTGTGCTGAAATCCTGCCTCCATTCAAACCAATTACAAAACTCCCAAAATCTGAAGTGGAACCACAATTTCACCCCTGATATAGAGAAATGAAAAGGCAGCATATATCTTTACCAAGCACTTGAAGTGTCAGATTTATATGTACTGCATACCCACATGAATCACAAAGTAAAGGGCAGTCCAAATAACCTGTAGGTGTTCTGGACAGTTTCCTTCCCTGTTGACAGTATCACATTCAGCAGAAGGCTGAAATCAAGAAGCAAGATGTAGAAGGATGGAAGAGAGAAAGGATGAGGTAGATAAGGGTTAGTTCTCCATCTCCATGCCAATGCACATACCAAACGATCATAGTTCAAACAGGTTAAACATGTCACTTTGCAGAGCTGGTGAATACCACTTTACTGAGCCAGACAGGCATGTTTTCAAAAGCTTCCCTCACATAGAGCAAGTCATATTAATCAGTATAAGCTTTGTTTAGACCATGGAGGATTCATCCACATGATCTACCAGTATTTGGGCACTTTATCCAGGCACAGAGGGGTAGGGGCAAAAGGCAATAAAGAAAGATGGTTGAAGCAGAGAGACTTTTGTGGTGCTACTCATGTCTTCTCTGGAAACCCAGCTGCAAAACAGTTTAACCATCAGCGGTCAGATAAATCCAGATCACCAGCTATCATTTCATTTAGTTTAGCTATCCTCCTACATCCAGAAAATTATAGGCTTGCATCATGACAAAGGCAAATGACTTTACAACAAAAAAATACAAATAGACTGCACAGGCCTAATATTAGTTTCAAACAGTCCCTCCATCACAAGATGCACATAATACAGGCTAATAGAGAGAAACAATGCAACCATTACTTCACTTTAGCATCATTTTCAAGTCTCTCAATTTCACAACAAACATAAATCAAAACCTTCATGACACAGGGAGAAAGTGTTTCTTCCTCCCATGGAAACATTTTGATTTCTTTAAATAAAGGGACCATTTGGATAGGCTTTGGAAACAAGCTTTACTTAGTTGTCATGAATTATTAACAGAACAAAATCCCTTTTGTTGCCCTTTATAGAGGCTTGATTTACAAGTTTAAAAAAAAAAGTCAGGCTGACACTTGTCTCTTGTACAAATATCCAACATTTTAAAAAATGCTCTGGGCATTTTTTTCATGAATATGGCAACAGCAATTCTATAAATAGCCATTCTTTATAAAACTGCTTCAAGACACTGTTTTTACAGACAACAGTAGGAAACCAAAAGAGTCATAATGCCAACGTTATAAAAAATGGAACAGAAAAACTCTCCAATCAATTCTGTTTTTTTAAAGTAACTTTTTATTATTTTGGTACATATACAATTGCTTTATTCAAGGAGGAAAAAAAACCCATTAACAGTTGATTATGGACTCAGTCCTCAAAATGAAACAAATCAATATAATCCCATTGTCTTCCATGGGGCTATTCATACCACTTATAAAATCTTACACAAGTATTTAAGTACTCGCCTGGCTCAAAGCCCAAAAGAGCAATTGAAGACTTTCTAAGAAGGGGCATAATATTTAACACAATCTCCTGGTACAAGAACAACCAAGGAAAGAAAGAAAGAAAGGACCCTGTGCAACTTTGACCTATTATCCCCAAATACATTTCACAAAAAAAAAGAGAGACCCAAAAAACAAACAACCCCCCCCCCCCACAAAACAGGTCAGTCTCCTCTGAAAAGTAAACACATTTTTTTTTTTTATCTTAGTATCTGAAAGTAACTGCATATTGCCTCTAGCAACTGAATATTTAATACCTGCTTATTTCCTCAGGCAATCTTTCCTTGTGTGTGAGAGTGCAAACCCTGAATCAATATAAACTTGTGAAAAAGCTGCATTTTTTTGTAAATGAAGTTGAAGAAGCCCTGGTATTGTGGCTTTATTTTGAACCCAATATAAATATGAACAGAACAAGGTGCTGAAATCACTGAAATATCATGCACAAGATACAAGAGTAAGTTATTTTATAACAAAGTAACGTAACAATTTACTTTGGGAAAGTGGAACCATTCTCTTTTTAGTATTATGACCTTAAGTCACAGCAATGCTGAGGAAAACATGAATGGGAGATCTAGACCCACCACAGCACAGCTCTACTCTTACATGGGTTTAACTCCATTGGGTGTGGACAGATGTAACAACTGAAACATTTCCAACTAAAAACACACTTGAAAACATTTCATAAAGGAAATATTTCAGCCAGGGGACACACAAAAAGAACAACAATTTAGATGTATATGCATCTCCCTGGTTGAAATGTTTCCTGTTGGAAAGGTTTCAAATGCTGCAGCCTTTTCTGCAAAAGGGTGCTAGAGTAGACTGCACCAACCTACAGCTCTACTCTTCACTCCCCTCACCAACCTCACAGGGACATGAGAAAGATGGAAGGGGAAGGGAGAGTTAAGAGCTGAGTAGAGGAATAAATGGGAGAGAGGCAGGGGGAGCCTGCCTCAATCCCCTCTGCCTCTCCTCCTCCCTTCTCAGTCAAGTGTAGAGGTAGAGAGGCTTGAAACAGAAGGGCCTGGTTCTGGCAGTGGCAGTGGCCACCAGAAGTCGGCAGGGGTCGGGTAAGCCTGGCTCTTGGTCTGGCAGAGGTCCCAGCAGCAGATGTGGAAGTCCCAGTGAGGACCCAGTATCCAGATGGAAAACAGGTTGTCCATCCCACTCCTCCCTGCATAGCACTGTCTCAGTGCACATGGAACAAGTTGAACGCTCCACCTAATTTTTCCATGTACAGAGGCACTATTTTGGAGTGGTTCGGCCACTTTACAAAGATTTCACAGGGCTTGCATGTGTTTCCAGCTGGTCCTTTGAAATATTTCAAAGGTGTATGAAATGTTTTCCTGACTACGTCTGTCCACACTTATTGACTCCATCAGCTGGGAATATGATAACACTGATTTTGGTGGAGTAACACGGATGGGGGACTGGAATGATGTAGCGGTGAATCAGGCCCTCAGCCTTCCCAACAGCTCCCTAACCATGTAACTGACTTAAAGTGCATAGGAGCACATTTAAAAGAAAGTTAAGACCAGCAATGATTAGTAATAACTGGCCACATCTACACAAGACACTACTGCACAGCCATTAGCACGCATTTGCTACTTTTCTAAACAAGTACTAAATAAGTGTACCATAACCTGAGCTACTACACAGTAGTGCCGGCAAATGCCTTTTTTGTGGCATGACTGTGCACTAACCTAATAATACAATGCAGTAGCGTCATGTCACCATTTTTACCATGCAAAGCTACTGCACACTAGTATCAGGCTACTGTGCAGTCAATGTCTCATGTAGACATGCCCACTTAGAAATGTAGGCGTAGTTCTGCAGCTGTGGCCAAAAAACACACCATAAATGAGGATGGAGGTTTGCTAAGGTACCTTTAAACGCCTCCATTTCTGGACCAAACTCACCAAGGATGAAAACCTGCATGCATGCAGATGCCCACTGACTTCCCCACAAGACTGATCCCTCAGTGTGAACTGAAACAAATTGCCAGTGTCCCACAGGACTGTTAAACTGGGGATCGTGAGAAAAATGAGAAATTCCATTTAATGCTAACTTACCCTTATGCCATGCCCTGTGCAACAGGGACTAAGTAGGTGCTATTATTACCTGCTCAGTCACTGAGGAGCTTTTTACACTGGTATGAGCCTCCTTAATCTGCTGTGTCAGCATTAGAGGGAAAAGCATCCTGACCACAGCTTTTCTTGCCACCTGTGACACTCAAAATGATGATAAAGATGGTGTTTATTCTCTTACCTTATTTTGATCTGTCCAATAGAAGAAAAATCCCAACGGATCTGTTTTAAGGATAATTGGAGTCACAACAGTGGAGTCCTAGCAAGAGGGGAGAAAACAAGAACATTAGACTTGCAAAACAGATGCTACACTGTTCTCCACCTTATCTTTAGTGTTCAGAAGTAGCAGTTCCTCAAAGCCACCCTTAAGGTATTATTCATAAAATGTCACTATCACAGTTTAATACCACATGGCTCATCTCCATTTTTATAACCTAATGTATTTCCATTACTGAAAAGAGTAGTACTAAATTACTGCCGGCTTGTCTGTGGATACAGTTATTTCAGAAAAAAATGAAAGCAGATTCAGCTTTACAGGAACAAGGTACTTTTATTCTGTAATTAGAGTGTCTACATGCTGATTAACTAAAAAATGGTTATGACAAAAAAAATCCTATTCCAGCTTAGTCCAAGTTAACTTTCAAATGTAGACAAGTTCTAAAATGTTTATGAGACTTGCATAGCATATATGTACAAGAGATTTTATTTACCCAGGAGTGATCACAGTGATATGTATTAAATTCCATTACAACAGACTCTTATTAATTCTGTATTCCATTAAAAATCGTTTCCTTTTTTCCTAGCACTTATAATACTGTTTCATAGTTGTATAAAATCTGCAAAAAGTGTTCCTTGTATTGTAAAAGCCATAGTTAAGATTTTTTTATATACAAATCATCCTGAAAACAAATGCATATTTCTACTAAATAGTTACAGACAATACAAAGATTTGAAGCTCAGTTATTCCAAAGCAATAGTAAATCAAGGCCATTCTGCATATATCTGTAAAAAATGTGGCTCTGTACTAAACATTTTTAAAAATTAAGTTTTCAAATCAAGTTGCAGTCTAGGACATCACACAATGTTGTTACTCCAAACTTAAGCAAGGCAAGTAACTAGGAGGAAGCAAGATAATGCTCATGTGTCATAGGTGCTTGTACAATCTTCATTCCTATAGTATCAGAGCACCTCACTAGCTGGTGCCTTTATCTTCACAACACCTCTGAGTTAGGGAAGTGCTGTTATTCCCATTTTGAAGCTAGTGAGGCAGACAGAGTACAAGAGATGTACCCAAAGTGTCACACAAGAAGCGAGTTATGGAGCAGGGCTTGAACTGTGTGTCCCAATTCCAACACTCTTTACATATGCACATAAATAAATAAATAAATAAATAAATAGAAAGACTGGAACGCCTCATCAAGTACCATATTGCATAAAGTAAAAATATCCAAAGTAGTCCCACACTAAACATCCTGAAGAAAGCCATTAGTGTTGAGCAGATGAAGGAACCACCCCTTGCTATATGGAATGGGGATAAAGAATGGGGAGTGGATGGCAAGCTGGTTTGCTGGGTCCTTCTAGTGGGGTCTGCCTCCTACAGCATTTTCATGCATTTTCATGACTGCATCAGATGTGATGGTGGCAAACTGCTGATGGAGGTCAGAATAAGCTTTAGGTACTTTCCTGAAAGAGGAGCATTTTTTCAGGAAGCCAGGTTACGACTGACTTTATTTCCCCCACAACAGAGAGAAAAAATGGTTTCACTGAGATGCACACCTGCCCTGTGCCCCCATGACAGGTTATTTCCCTTGATATCTGCCTTGGCAAGTGCCTATTGCTCTGACATGGCAACTCTTCACACATGGTATCAGTCACGGCCTTTTTTTCCAGATCAGTTCTGATGAGGGCCACTACAAACATGCCTCCTAGAAAATGAGGTACCATCAGTACTGCAAGAGCACATAGGCTGCTACCTGACTTACAACCAGTTAGGTATGGACATCCCTTTGCTAACTGATCACAGGTACCTGCTCAGTTTTCCTGCCAATTCCCTCCCCTTCTAGTGTGGATGGATTAAAAGCAATGTATAGAATTAAGGCTATGTCTACACCAGTGGTTCTCAACCTCGTTAGATGCACGGCACCTCTCATTAGATTCAAAGCACCACACAGAAAATGCCAGCTCTTAACTTTTACTCATTTTTTGACTATGGAAAAATACCAAAGCAAACATACTGTTGCAAAGAACATTGCAGAATGTTTTTGACATTGTGAATTCCTGTTTGAAATCACTGGGTTTATCTTGCACATCATGGATAGGGACAGAAATTACACATAAACAGACATAAGTGATCGGAAAGCAGTTCAAATCTGTAACACAACAGAAATTCAGTGTACATAAATCACTTTTAAAATGGTTGAAACCGGTTTAAAAAACAAAAAACAAAAAACAACCTGGATGGATGCAATATCAGACTAACTGATTTAAGTTAAATTGGTTTATTGAACTTCTGTCCCAGGTGCCCTCCAGATTCACGTTCACTCACCAGTCCCCCAGCATCCCAAGATGCTTTGCACCCCCCCCATAAACTATGCCCCCTCTAGCAGGGTGGGTGGGCTAGCCTTGGCCCAAGCGGTCAGCTCCAGCAGAGCAGGGAAGCCTGCTTTAGCATCCCTGGCTTCTGACCTGAGCCACTGCAGGCATGGGCTGCATTTCTGGAATCAAAAAGTGAATGTCTCTTCACTTGCTTGTTGGTTCAATCTATGCAGTTTAGACTAAATTGCAAAGATTAAATCAATTCAGCCTTAGCCTTTTTGACTGTCTGTACTTAGCTCATGTGTAGGTGTTTGCGCACCTAACAATGCTAATATTAAACAGCATGCTGCAGCACCCTTAAAAGGCTTTCACTGTACCCTGGCTGAGAATCACTTATCTACACTGACAGTTAGTGAAAACCTTAAAACCACTCACCAGCCATCTGCATTGCAAAACCTGCATTCAACCTCTAGTTTTAGTCCCACACTCACCTCCTTCTCTGTCCCTCTCCAAGAGGTGGTTAGAACTCACCCAGACAACCAAGACAGCAATCCCAGAATGCACCATTCCCAATGTCTGGCCTTCTATACTTTGACTTTCTACTGCCCATAATTCAAAACAATCACAGGAGAGACAAGGAGCTGTAGACCAATTCCTTGATGGGCTCCTTAAGGCAACCTGGGATATATCTTTGTGCTGTGCTCAAAAAAGCAGCAGTACAAGTAGGATAGATTTTGTAGGAATACAACATGGAGGGGAGAAGGACAGCTTTTGCAGCTGAAGCTGATTAAGGATAACTTTCAGTGTCACTGTAGATTTCCCCTTAATGCATGATGCCTACCAAAAAACAAAAACAAACTGTGTCATTTATTTAAAAAGGACACTGTCAACTTGAAAACTGGTTCAGTCTGATGCACTCATTCTTCACACCAAGGAATGGAAACCAAACACCCATG